CTGGATGGCATCTAAATGGCAGGTCAGACAACTTCTTCTTCATTTTAATTATTAGATTCTTGTTTTGTTTTACTATTGTTATTAAGTTCTTGCCGCTTTTGATCAATCTGATTACATTTAATTAGCAGTTGTAAAACCCGACTTTTACTGCAAAAAAGTTCTCAATGATATGAATGAAAATTATAATTATTCTTAAAGACAGAGAAAATACAAGAGAAAACTTTAGAAAACTTTATTTTTTCTTACTGATCTTGAAAAAACTAATTCAAAATATAATTTCTTTGTAATTGGGTTTTTGTTGAACATATGAGACTCTGCCATTACAGGGATGAGTCGGAGTTTATTCAAGATATTGTTGAAGACATACTCAGCCAATTGAGAAGATCAAGTCATAGCATTGCCAAGGATTTTGTGGGAATGGAGTCTAAGGTTGGAGAATAATAAATGATTATCTAGATTTAGGGAACTTGAGTAAGTTAAAAACAATTATAGGAATTATGTGGGATTGGGTTGAATACGAAACAACTATTTCTAGATGTTGTTTTACAAGGATATTTATTGATGCAATTTGAAGGGAGTTGTTTTTCTTGTGAAAATGTTTAGGAGAATTCTTCTGAAAAAATATGGTATAGTTTCTTACAGAAACAACTTCTATCTGCAACCATTGATGGATAAAAGGACATACAAATATATGATTGCTTATTAGAGGAACTGACGAAATAAGGAAATAGGTTGTGTCGTAAAAGATTTTAGGCCATTCTTTGTTGATGTTGATCAGGTCGAGCAATTAGAGTTAATTTGATTTGGAAAAAAGGATGAGAACATTGGTTTGGTATTGGAAGGTAGGATCATATAACAACAAGAGATGAAACATCTGTTGAAACACAATGGAGCAGATGAAATATTACACGGAGTTGAGGAGTTAAGTCAGGATGATTGCCTTTAAACCCTTTAGCTCAAAGGCCTTCACAGCTTTTGCTCAAAGGCCTTCAAGAATAATCATCACAAGGAGGAATATGAGGAGCTTTGTAACGATTTTGTAAAATATGCCAGTGGCCTCCCTTTAGCTCTTAATATTATAGGTTCCTCTTTGTGTGATAAATCTACGAGGGAATGGAACAGCACATTAGACAGACTAAAAGAAATTCCAAATGAAAAAATTCTGAGCAAGCTTCAATTGAGTTATGATGTGCTTGATGAAGTATCAAAAAAAATATTCCTTGACATTGCATGTTTCTTCAAGGGAATGAGGAAAGAATATGTGATAAAAGTACTAGAAAGCTGTGGATTCTTCCCAGAAAGCGGAATAGGAGAACTCATCGATAAATCTCTCATAACTATACTATGTGGAGGTTTGTGGATGCATGATTTGGTTCAAGAGATGGGAAGAGAAATTGTTCGTAAAGAATCTCGCGAAGACCCAAGCCTACGTAGTAGAATATGGCTTGACAAGGATCTCTATCACGTTCAAGTAAAGGACATGGTAAGTAATACTTATAGTTTTTTTTATAGTATTCGGTAATTAACAAGGTATCTAATTACCCTCAATTGACAGAAAACAGAACAAGTTAAGGCTATAGTCCTGCATTCTTGGAAACAAGAAGAGGAACACTTAAGTGCTAAAGTTTTCTCCAGAGTGAAAGAGCTGAGATTGCTTATACTCCGAAGTGTACCCACCTCTCAGGAAGTTGCTTATACTCCGAAGTGTACCCACCTCTCAGGAAGTTGAATATCTTTCCAATGAATTAAGTTATTTGGAATGGTATAAATGTCCATGTAGAACTTTTCCATCAAATTTTCAACCAGATAAACTTGTCCGGCTCCATATGCAGCACAGCAGTATTGAACGACTTTGGAAGAGATCAATGAAGGTGCGTGTTTCGTGATTTAATTTTCTACCACAATGTTACTTAGTAATTAAATAATCTATTCATTTTTTTCGTATATCTTGTTGTAGCCTATTAAGTTGCTGAAGGTCATTGATCTTAGTTACTCGGAAAGTTTAATTGAGACCCCCGACTTCCGAGGGATCCCAAATCTTGAGGAGTTGAATCTTGAAGGATGTAGGAATCTTCATGAAGTTCACCAATCTATTGGGTATCAGCCAATCTATTGGGAGTTGTCTAAAAAGGCTTGTTTTTCCTTAACCTTGAAAATTGCGAAACTTTGTGTAACTCTCCAAGCAGGCATGTGTAACTTTAAAGTCCCTTTAAGAGTTCTTATTTTCTGGCTGTTCAAAACTTATGAACTTACAAAATATGTTTTGAGGATATGAACTGTTGGAGGATATGAACTGTTTGGAGGTGTTGGATGCAGCTGGAATTGGTATGCAACAACTGGAATTAGCTAAGCAATGGAATTTCCATCTTCTGTCATGGTTGATGCCTTCGACTTGGAAGAATCCAGAGCCTATGGTTATGGCATTTCCTTCAGCTCTACCCTTCTTGAAAGAACTAGACCTTAGTTACTGCAATCTTCCTGAAGGAGCCATTCCTAATGACCTTAGTGGCTTCCCCTTGCTGGAACGTCTCAATCTAAGTGGAAACAATTTTATGACGTTACCCTCAAGCATCAATCATCTTTCCCAACTCCATTGTCTTGAATTATCTAATTGCAAGAAGCTTCAGTCATTACCAGATCTTCCATCGAATATCGTAGGTCTGTATGTGGAAAACTGCACTTCTTCTGCACTTCTTTGGAAAGTCTTCCAAATTTGTCTGACAAACCCAATGTGAAGGATTTTCGGATAGATTTCTCATACTGCTCGAAGTTAAATGATAAGCAAGGGACTATTAACGTGGCATTTACATGGCTGAAAAGTTTCCTGCTTTCGTTTCTAAAAATCCGCCGGCTGCTCAGGATACAAGAAATCTGCACAAACATGGATCAATTTAAAAAAATTTGCCGCAAGGTCTAGCTTGAAATCGTTTCTTTCTTTTTATGCCAGTAAATTTTTTATTCTGAAGCACTAACATATTACAGGTAATAAATTTGATGCAGAAAGGAATTTATCCATACAGATCACATTCACTCCCTGAATTCTCTATGTACTTACCTGGAAGTGAAATTCCCGACTGGTTCAACTATCAGAGTTTCAACAGTCCGTTGAAAATATACCTGTCTTCATCTGAAAAATGGTGGAACATTGCAGGTTTTGTTGTTTGTGTTGTGATAACTGAAGACGATGAACCTACTTGTGAATTTGCAGTTTATAGTAAAAACAGGGCTGTTTGGGGCACCACCTATCATCTCGATGATGAAAGATCAGACCATCTATACCTCTTCTTTATTGCCAATCACTTGATTGACCCTTATGAAGAAAAAAGTCCCACCAAGGTGAAGCTAACTTTCGATGAAATGGAAATCAAAAAGTGTGGGATACGCATTGTACATGAGAAAGAAATAGAAGAATTAGTCCAACTTGGTAAACCTTTAGAAAATTTGTATGCTTTTCAGAATTTTGAAGAAATATATAGTAGAAAATTTTGTAGCTTTTCAGTAATTTTTGAGACATTATAGCCAACCATGAAAGAAATTTTGACAGTCCAAGCCATGAAGAAAATTTTGACAGTGGCGAGGAAGTAAGTACAGAGTTGGAATTCTGGTCAGAGGGAGAGGCAGAGGATATGGAGTTGGGAATCTGCCGCTCAGAGAGAGAGGAAGATCATGTGGAGTGGAAAATCAGCTGCTCAGAGAGAGACGAAGATGATATGGAGTGGGAAATTGGC